GCATTTAGCTAGTTACATCACAGTATCATTGCCTAGTATCATAGCGGCATAGCCTATCAAATAATGACATATAGCTAGCTAGCTAACAAAATGTAGCTACTTACTTACCAACAACACACCAGTCTCTGGTTTGACGGTTGACAGCCCAAGTAGAAGCTAGTCGGATTTAATCCATATCCAAGATTGTGGGGGGGGGGGGCTCATTGTCAACAACAGCTGGTGCGCAATCTCTAATATTAAGGAAGTCTCAAGGTTATGCTCGTCTGAGTTAGAGTACCTCATGATAAACTGTAGTCCATACTATTTACCAAGAGAGTTTATCTATATTCTTAGTAGCTGTCTATTTACCACCACAAACCGATGCTGGAACAAACAACTCACGCAACGAGCTGTATAAGGCCATAAGCAAACATGAAAATGCTCATCCAGAGGTGGCGCTCCTAGTGACTGGAGAGTTTAATGCAGTTCAACTGAAATCCGTTTTTTCCAAATTTCTACAAGCATGTCACGTGCAACTAGAGGAAAAACAACTCTAGATCCCCTTTACTCCACAGCTCTCCCTCGCCCTCCATTTGGCAAATCTGACCATAACTCTATCCTCCTGATTCCGGCTTACAAGTAAAAACTCAAACAGGAAGTACCAGTGACGCACTCAATATCGAAGTGGGCCGATGAAACAGATGCTAAGCTACAGGACTGTTTCGCTAGCACAGACTGGAATATGTTCCGGGATTCATCCGATAACATTGAGTAGTATACAGTGGGGGAAAAAAGTATTTAGTCAGCCACCAATTGTGCAAATTCTCCCACTTAAAAAGATGAAAGAGGCCTTTAATTTTCATCATAGGTACACGTCAACTATGACAGACAAATTGAGAAAAAAAATCCAGAAAATCACATTGTAGGATTTTTTATAAATTTATTTGCAAATTATGGTGGAAAATAAGTATTTGGTCACCTACAAACAAGCAAGATTTCTGGCTCTCACAGACCTGTAACTTCTTCTTTAAGAGGCTCCTCTGTCCTCCACTCGTTACCTATATTAATGGCACCTGTTTGAACTTGTTATCAGTATAAAATACACCTGTCCACAACCTCAAACAGTCACACTCCACTATGGCCAAGACCAAAGAGCTGTCAAAGGACACCAGAAACAAAATTGTAGACCTGCACCAGGCTGGGAAGACTGAATCTGCAATAGGAAAGTCCGTGTTGCCCAGCGACAGCCCCAAAACATCAATGCTCTAGAGGAGATCTGCATGGAGGAATGGGCCAAAATACCAGCAACAGTGTGTGAAAACCTTGTGAAGACTTACAGAAAATGTTTGACCTGTGTCATTGCCAACAAAGGGTATATAACAAAGTATTGATAAACCTTTGTTATTGACCAAATACTTATTTTACACCATAATTTGCAAATAAATTCATAAAAAATCCTACAATGTGATTTTCTGGATAAATAAAATCTCATTTTGTCTGTCATAGTTGATGTGTACCTATGATGATAATTACAGGCCTCTCTCATCTTTTTAAGTGTGAGAACTTGTACAATTGGTGGCTGACTAAATACTTTTTTCCCCCACTGTATATACCACATCAGTCATCAGCTTCATTAATAAGTGCATCGACGACATCGTCCCCACAGTGACCATACGTACACATCCCAACCAGAAGCCATGGATTACAGGCAATATCCACACTGAGCTAAAGGCTAGCGCTGCCGCTTTCAAGGAGCGGGACACCAATCCGGAAGCTTAGAAGAAATCCTGCTACGCCCTCAGATGAACCATCAAACAGGCAAAGCGTCAATACAGGACTAAGATCGAATCCTACTACACCAGCTCTGACGCTGGTCTGATGTGGCAGGGCTTGCAAACTATCACGGATTACAAAGGGAAACCCAGCTGCGAGCTGCCCAGTAACACGAGCTTTCCAGACGAGCCTAAATGACCTCCGCCCGTAGCACTCACATCTGTAGCCATGAAATGCTTTGAAAGCCTGGTCATGGCTCACATCATCCCAGAAACCCTGGACCCACTGCAATTCACATACCTTCCCAACAGATCAACAGATGACACAATCTCTATTGCACCCCACACTGCCCTTTCCCACCTGGACAAAAGGAAGACCTACGTGAGAATGTTGTTCATTGACTACAGTTCAGCATTCATCACCATAGTGCCCTCCAAGCTCATCACTAAGCTAAGGGCCCTGGAACTGAACAATTCTCTCTGCAACACATCCACCACGCTGACCCTCAACACAGGGGCCCCTCAGAGGTACGTGCTTAGTCCCCTCCTGTACTCCCTGTTCACGCACGACTCCAACACCATCATTAAGTTTGCAGACGACACGACGGTGGTAGGCCTGATCACCGACGACGATGAGACAGCCAATAGGGAGGTGGTCAGAGACCTGGCAGTGTGGTGCCAGGACAACAACCTCTTCCTCAACGTGAGCAATACAAAAGGAGCTGATCGTTGAATACAGGAAGAGGAAGGCAGAGCACACCCCCATTCACATCGACAGGGCTTTAGTGGAGTGGGTCGAGAGTTTGAAGTTCCTTGGTGTCCACATCACTAAGTACCTATCATGGTCCAAACACACCAACACAGTCGTGCCCTCAGGAGGCTGAAAATATTTGGCATTGGACCTCAGATCCTCAAAAAGTTATACAGCTGCACCATCGAGAGCATCCTGACTGATTGTATCCCCGCTTGGTAAGGCAACTGCTCAGCATCCGACTGCAAGGCGCTACAGAGGGTAGTGTGTATGGCCCAGTATATCACTGGGGCCGTGCTTCCTGCCATCCAGGACCTCTATACCAGGCGGTGTTGGAGGAAGTCCCTAAAAATTGTCAAAGACACCTGCCACCCGAGTCATAGACTGTTCTCTCTGCTACCACACAGCAAGCGGTATCGGAGTGGCAAGTCTGGGACCAAAAGACTCCTTAACAGCTTTTACCCCTAAGCTATAAGACTGCATATTGTACATATTACCTCAACTACCTCAACTAGCCGGTGCCCCCGCACATTGACTCTGCAACGGTACCCCCCTGTATATATAGCCTCCCTACTGTCACTTTATTTTACTGTATATATAGCCTCCCTACTGTCACTTTATTTTACTTCTGCTCTTTTTTTCTCAACACTTTTTTTGTTGTTGTTTTATTCTTACTTTTTTTGTTTAAAATAAATGCACTGTTGGTTAAGGGCTGTAAGTAAGCATTTCACTGTAATGTCTGCACCTGTTGTATTCGGCGCATGTGACCAATAAAATTTGATTTGATTTGATTTGCTAAACAGTTAATCAAATGGCTACGCTGACTATTTGTATTACCCCCCTTATTGTATTCTTCTTTTTTTGCACTGACTCTCTTGCACATGCTCGATGTACACTCACTGGACTCTAACCACACATACTACATTGACACTCCAACACACACATACTCTGTACCCATGCACATTGACTCGGTACTGATACCCCTTGTATATAGCATCGTTATTATTTTATTGTGTTACTATTTTTCCATTTGTTTATTTAGCACATTTTTCTTGCTTTTCTAAAACTCTGCATTGTTGGTTAAGGGCTCCTAAGTAAGAATTTCAAGGTAAGGTTGTATTCAGTGTGTGACAAATAACATTTGAATCGATTTTTTTTATTAGCCCCACCTGTCTCAATCAATGAAAGAATATTTGAAATAGACAAGATGGTGGAGTACACACTGTTGGATTACTTCATGGAGAAAATAAATTGATTTATTTTAATATCTGAGCATTTTCTAAATTCAGAAGCATCACATGCAACTGGATACAGCCATTTAGAAGTTAAGTTTGGCCGATCGAGAACGAACATAGTGTCGCCAAGTTAAGGTTGGTCTAAAATTGTATGTGATACACCAAACAGTTAGTGGAATGCTCAATTCCGTTCTCTTGTATTGAGGCAGGTTGAGTTTTGATAACAGGTTGTGCGATTTGCTAGCAACAACATTGAGTCACCATCAGTCAATACTTGTAAAAATGTCAATTCTGAAAACACTTACCTGTACCTACAGTATGTTCATAGCCGCGGGAAGTAGGGGTGCTGCACCACCCCCTGAAAAATCAGAATTTAAAAAAAGTTATAATTAAAAATGCATTTATTTTTCCTTCACAAAAGTTGTGCAGTGGGCCCGTAGTCCTGTATTAGCGGACCAATAAATCCTGGCTATGCCTATGTTTGTCCTGTACAACCGCGGTTCTTCTGAAGAGTGCTGAAATGCATACTAAAAAACTTTTGAATACAGCCACTGAATTTTTCCTCAACTCTGTGCGAATGTGTATGTGCCAATTGATTATCAGCTTACCTACTATGTCATGGCCGCTGTCTACAGTTATACAGGACAAACATAGATACAGGTAAGCGTTTTCAGAATTTATAGTTTTACAAGTATCGACTGAGTTGAACGTTCCTCAGCTAACCAGTACAGTACCTAACCTGTAACTCCCAGTAATAATGGATACCAAAATTATTTTGTTAAACCACATTATCTGGTGACGTATCATTCTGTAGCTAGTGATGCACGCGCGTGTGGCGTAGCTAGCTAGCAAGCAAACAATGTATTCGACTATACTAATAGGTAAGGGTTGGACGAGATTCGATTAAAGCCAAAAGGCATACCAAGAATATGTGGCTGACAAGGTGGTCTTGCATTGGGACAATCAGGAGAGAGGGGCACATTACACCAACTGCATAGCTACGAAATAAGCTTGAAAATGCTATTAATGCCAGAAGATCTCCCCCTCCCCCCAGTTCCTCTTAGGTTTCTGCCTTCTAGGGAGTTTTTCCTGGCTACTGTGCTTTTGCTTTGCTTGCTGTTTTTGGTCTAGGCTGGGTAACTAACACACAACAGAGTAGTCTAAAGTGCACACTGCCTGTCATCATGGCACCTTGTCATAGTTGGGCGTTGTAGCCCTGGCATGTTTGGCATCAGCATTCTTCCAAACCTGAAACATCCCAAATGACATACAAAAGCATTTATTTATTGCTCACCATAACAACATCTCAAAGCCACCAAGAACTATCAGTAATCATGAAGCATACAATGCTAGTCCTGACAGTCATTAACATTGTGGTCAAATGTTCTTTACAGATCAGTATTCTGTAGAGAGAAAGCTGCTGCTACAGGGACATAAGTGCAAATTCAATGACTGTACAAGGCAAGGGGAGGCGTGTGTTTCTTTACAGCAGGCGAACAGTCTTTCCAGTCACAGTCAGATAGTCTTCATCTGCCAGGGCTCGCAGAGCCTCTTCAAACATGTCCTTCGTTATCGCCTGAAGGTTAACAAATTGGAAGAAAAATACATTATGGGACAGAAATACACTATTCAGAAGATAGATATGCATACCATCCAATTAAAATGTACAGAAAAATACATATTCAAATATTGTTTTAGGGTAATTGTGAGGACTGTTTTCCTTGATAGTTCTCATCAATAGGAAAGCAGAGCTGGGAGGTACTACTTACAGCTTCAGACTGGCCTCTGAGGTCATCAAACAGCTGCTGGTACTTCATGGCAGGGGTCTTTCCCTTGGACTGGATCATTTTCTTCAAGGCCTGGGCCACTTCCTCCTTACGCTTACGGGCCGTGGCACTCATTCCTGGGTTGAGTAAAAACACCATGTTGCACATTATCAAAGATACTGACACATACAAATTCATAACATGGTTGGGTTTGCACATCCATCCAATAAAAATAAAAACAAAAATCCTCCATACCGGTTGTGAGGATGGAGATGTCGACAAAGCCAGTTCTGGGGTCTGTAGCGGACTGCTTGAGGGCTTCGCGGTGCAGTCTCTTGGCCTCCTCCACGTCGATGGTCTCCACCTTGTCAGAGAAGCGCACCTTGGCATGGGCCTCGGCCAGGCGGATCAGAGACTCCAGCTGCCTGGGGTAGGCAGACACCATCCCCCGCCCGCTGCCAATCTTCCTCATGTCCACGTAGGCCTGTTAGAAAGATACCCATACAATCAATCCAATTTATTTATAAAACCTTTACACTGTTGAATGCTTCTGCAGGATATTTTTATGCAATGTGTTGACCAGGATTTCGTCTGGCTTAATATAGCCTAAACCTGGAACCAGCACAGAACTTGTTGCATTCAGGGCCTGAAACAAACTTAGCCAGCCACTTAATACTTTTTACCAGCATTTGATGCCAATGTCAGGCCCTGAAGTAACATCTACATCGCAACCCCTTTCAATTTAGAGCACTTAAAATATATATATATATGCCTATATCGTACCTCAATGAGTGCCTGGCTGGCTTCTTCATTCAGTCTGGGGTTGACGTATGTGCGAGCGTATGCAATGTAGTCCTTCAGCATAGCCATGTCCAGGAACTCTTCCTCAATTTGCTCCTCGCTCTGGTAGTACAGCGCCACCAGGTGGTGAGCCAGGCGACGGTCGTACGCCTCATCTTGAGGATCCAGCATCAGGAAGATCAGATCAAATCTGTAGGGGAAAACATTTCATTTAGTTTTTAATATATTTTTTTTTATAGCAGGTCATATGCATGTTGTGAGTGATAAAAACAAAAGTTATATTTTTTGGCCAACAACGTGCATTTAGTTACAGTGGAGAAGTCATTGTTTAGGGTTCAGTGGCCATCAGTGAAGTGACTTATTGACAATCAATATAATTTATCAATAAGTGTCCAGGGCGGTTGACCTAACAGGTAATATTTACCTTGAGAGCAGTGTATGAGGGAGTTGGATGTTCTCGATGGTCGTCTTCTTGGGGTTCCACTGAGACTCCACAGGATTGGCTGCTGCCAGGACGGAGGTGCGAGCATTGAGCTGGCAAATTATTCCAGCCTGCACAAAATGAAAAAAAGAGAGCTTTGTGAGAAACTACCGTTGTTCACCGTTTTTTATTTATTTATTTCACCTTTATTTAACCAGGTAAGCCAGTTGAGAACAGGTTCTCATTTACAACTGCGACCTGGCCAAGATAAAGCAAAGCAGTGCAATAAAAACAACAGAGTTCCATATGGGGTAAAAAAACAGTCAAAAATACAACAGAAAATATATATACAGTGTGTGCAAATGTAGCAAGTTATGGAGGTAAGGCAATAAATAGGCTATAGTGCAAAATAATTACAATAGTATTAACACTGGAATGCTAGATGTGCAAGAGATTATGTGCAAATAGAGATACTGGGGTGCAAAAGAGCAAAATAAATAACAATATAGGGATGAGGTAGTTGGGTGGGCTAATTTCAGATGGGCTGTGTACAGGTGCAGTGATCGGTAAGGTGCTCTGACAACTGATGCTTAAAGTTAGTGAGGGAGATAAGAGTCTCCAGCTTAAGAGATTTTTGCAATTCGTTCCAGTCATTGGCAGCAGAGAACTGGAAGGAATGGCGGCCAAAGGAGGTGTTGGCTTTGGGAATGACCAGTGAGATATACCTGCTGGAGCGCAGACTACGGGTGGGTACTGCTATGGTGACCAATGAGCTAAGATAAGGCGGGGATTTGCCTAGCAGTGATTTATAGATGGCCTGGAGCCAGTGGGTTTGACGACGAACATGTAGTGAGGACCAGCCAACAAGAGCGTACAGGTCACAGTGGTGGGTAGTGTATGGGGCTTTGGAGACAAAACAGATGGCACTGTGATAGACTACATCCAATTTGCTGAGTAGAGTGTTGGAGGCTATTTTGTAAATGACATCGCCGAAGTCAAGGATCGGTAGGATAGTCAGTTTTACGAGGGCATGTTTGGCAGCATGAGTGAAGGAGGCTTTGTTGCGAAATAGGAAGCCGATTCTAGATTTAACTTTGGATTGGAGATTCTTTATGTGAGTCTGGAAGGAGAGTTTACAGTCTAACCAGACACCTAGGTATTTGTAGTTGTCCACATACTCTAGGTCAGACCCGTCGAGATTGGTGATTCTAGTCGGGTGGGCGGGTGCCAGCAGCGTTCGATTGAAAAGCATGCATTTAGTTTTACTAGTGTTTAAGAGCAGTTGGAGGCTACTGAAGGAGTGTTGTATGGCATTGAAGCTCGTTTGGAGGTTTGTTAACACAGTGTCCAATGAAGGGCCAGATGTATACAAAATGGTGTCGTCTGCGTAGAGGTGGATCTGAGAGTCACCAGCAGCAAGAGCGACATCATTGATATACACGGAGAAAAGTGTCGGCCCAAGAATTGAACCCTGTGGCACCCCCATAGAGACTGCCATAGGTCCAGACAACAGGCCCTCCGATTTGACACACTGAACTCTATCTGAGAAGTAGTTGGTGAACCAGGCGAGGCAGTCATTTGAGAAACCAAGGCTATTTAGTCTGCCAATAAGAATGCGGTGGTTGACAGAGTCGAAAGCCTTGGCCAGGTCGATGAAGACGTTTAGGACCTTGAGCGTGGCTGAAATGCACCCATGACCAGTTCGGAAACCGGATTGCATAGCGGAGAAGGTACGGTGGTATTCGAAATGGTCGGTGATCTGTTTGTTAACTTGGCTTTCAAATACTTTCGAAAGGCAGGGCAGGATGGATATAGGTCTGTAGCAGTTTGGATCTAGAGTGTCACCCCCTTTGAAGAGGGGGATGACCGCGGCAGCTTTCCAATCTCTGGGGATCTCAGACGTTATGAAAGAGAGGTTGAACAGACTAGTAATAGGGGTTGCGACAATTTCGGCGGCTAGTTTTAGAAAGAAAGGGTCCAGATTGTCTAGCCCAGCTGATTTGTAGGGGTCCAGATTTTGCAGCGCTTTCAAAACATCAGCTGTCTGAATTTGTGTGAAGGAGAAGCGGGGGGGGCATGGGCAAGTTGCAGCGGAGGGTGCAGAGTTGGTGGCCGGGGTAGTGGTAGCCAGATGGAAAGCATGGCCAGCTGTAGCAAAATGCTTGTTGAAATTCTCGATTATTGTAGATTTATCGGTGGTGATAGTGTTTCCTAGCCTCAGTGCAGTGGGCAGCTGGGAGGAGGTGCTCTTATTCTCCATGGACTTTACAGTGTCCCAAAACTTTTTGGAGTTAGTGCTACAGGATGCAAATTTCTGTTTGAAAAAGTTAGCCTTTGCTTTCCTGACTGCTTGTGTATATTGGTTCCTAACTTCCCTGAAAAGTTGCATATCGCGGGGGCTATTTGATGCTAATGCAGTACGCCACAGGATGTTTTTGTGCTGGTCAAGGGCAGTCAAGTCTGAGGAGAACCAGGGGCTATATCGGTTCTTAGTTCTGTATTTTTTTGAATGGGGCATGTTTATTTAAGATTGAGAGGAAATTACTTTTAAGGAACAACCAGGCATCCGTTACTAACAATCTATTTACAAAACAGAAACGAACACAATCATAATGCTTCTACAGTAGTGAAACTATTTAATAATTAGACGTTACCAAAACCACATTCAACATAGGCCTATACACTACAGTTCAAAAGTTTGGGGTCACTTAGAAATGTCCTTGTTTTACAAAGAAAAGCAAATTTTTTCAGAAATACAGTGTAGACATTGTTAATGTTGTAAATGGCTATTGTAGCTGGAAACGGAAACACTAATGTAGTTGTCCTCTTGCTCAGTTGTGCACCGGGGCCTCCCACTCCTCTTTCTATTCTGGTTAGAGCCAGTTTGCGCCTTCATTTCTCAGAACAAGAATAGACTGACGAGTTTCAGAATAAAGTTATTTGTTTCTGGCCATTTTGAGCCTGTAATCGAACCCACAATTGCTGATGCTCCAGATACTCAACTAGTCTCAAGGAGGCCAGTTGTATTGCTTCTTTAATCAGCACAACAGTTTTCAGCTGTACTAACATAATTGCAAAAGGGTTTTCTAATGATCAATTAGCCTTTTATAATGATAAACTTGGATTAGCAAACACAACGTGCCATTGGAACACAGGACTGATGGTTGCTGATAATGGGCCTCTGTACGCCTATGTAGATATTCCATTAAAAATCAGCTGTTTCCAGCTACAATAGCCATTTACAACATTAACAATGTCTACACTGTATTTCTGATCAATTTGATGTTATTTTAAATGGACAAAAAATTTGCTTTTCTTTAAAAAACAAGGAAATTTCTAAGTGACCCCAAACTTTTGAACGGTAGTGTGTTTCTGTGAAGTGCATAGTTTCTGTGAATAGTCTTGAACCTAGTGCTGAAACGTCAACATCAGTCTAAACTTCATCCCCTGATCTTGTGTTGTTCTTTTCTAAACCCACCTTGGCGATGGAGAGAGTCTGCTGCTCCATGACCTCATGCAGCACAGAGCGTGTGCTGTCACTCATCTTGTCAAACTCATCAATACAACATATCCCGTTATCACTGAGCACCAGGGCCCCCGTCTGCAGCACCAGCTGCTTGGTCTCTGGGTCCTTCATCACATAGGCTGTGAGGCCCACGGCGCTGGAGCCCTTCCCAGACGTGTACTGACCGCGGGGCACCAGGTTGAACACGTACTGCAGCAGCTGGGACTTGGAGGTGCCGGGGTCTCCACAGAGCAGGATGTTTACCTCGGCACGGAAGTTACCGCGGCCTGTCTGGCTGAAGTCTTTACGGGTGCCCCCGAACAGCTGGAGAAGAATACCCTGGGGAAAAGAAGAGAAAAAGTTTACAGTACTGGTCATGCATTTTGAATGGAAGTCAAATCTAAACTCACACCAGTCAAAATCAAACAATTGCTGCAGCAAAATGCCCTGGGAAATTAATGACAATCTTTATAGTACTGTTCATGGATGTTGAATGAAAGCAAAATCCACTATAATATGAAAGACAGCAGTTCCACATCCCTGGCAGCAGAGGACCCCACGTTCATTTGATGAGAGAGATGGGAGAACTGTCCTGTGGTGAGTTTCCCAAAAGCGTTGTAGCACAAACATCTTAATTCCATAGCAGGCAATGTAGAAAGTATTATCTTTGCGCTACAACTTCGCTTCCACTGACCTTCTTGATGTCCTCCTGTTCATAGATGCTGGGGGCCAGGGCGGAGGCGAGACGCTCGTATACGTCTGGTTTGGAGGCCAGCTCCTTCAATGTCTGGACGCGCTCTTCAGTGAAAAGCTTCTGGTCTGAATCCTCATCCAGCCCATGAAGGCGCTTCTCATCAGTCTTACGGAAGTGGATGACGTCGATGTGGGTCTTGTACACTGACTTCACGTTGCTCTGGCGAGGGTTCTCACGCATAGGAACTGCTCTGTAGATACCTGTGGGGGAGTTGAGGAGTTTAGTCATGACAATAGGACCAATTTCTGTTTACCGTCAAACGTCACATTCCAGTGATGCACGCGCATCCCAACATCAAAAAGCTCTGTAGCAGGATAGCGAACGCTGATGTCGGGAGTCTCGGGACCTTGACAAATTTAACAGTGAGTGAGTGATGACCATAAAAACACACAAGACTGATGGCTATTGCTATGCAGGGGTTGAAACAGAACCATTATTTTTTTTGTTCCGTTCCACTGTTTCGACCAGCAAAATAAAGTTCTGAACCGTTTTGAACCAAAACAGTAACGGTTTATATCTTTAATTTCTGTTCCTTTTTAAACCTCTGAAATAGATTTATTTTTTACATTTATCTCGACATTAAATTACTTAAATGGATAGAGCAGCTTGCTATGGAGCGGGCAAGCTACAGACAAGTGTAGTGTACGACATGCGAATAAAATTTTGCAGGTGAGGAGAGCACTGGTCATGAAGTGCTGGGCATCTTGTTGTTATGAAATGTATTATCCGAATTAGGCCCACAGAATTATACCTACGGAGGAGTGGCTTCTACGAAGGAACTTTGAACTTCAGAGAGTTGACTTAACTGACATTGGACCAGAGCTAGCCCTTGATCATGACTCTCAGTTCCATTACATTATGCCACCTAGAGTTTGAGAGCTAGACCAGAGGTAGCTAACAAGCTAATAAGCTTGTGTGTGCAGAGCGGCGCCAGAATTAAAATAAAACACGTACCTTTTTGTAGTTAATAAATCCAATGTGAAACGTGATACCTATAGTATCCTTAACTAGCATTGAAAAAGTTAATCCATTATTCTCCAATTAAAAATACATCCCTAATTTCTGAATCATGTCTGTAGGTCCAGTAGACTGTGCATGCTTCGGAGGGAGTGATTTTCAGATGACCGACACTGGAATCCATTTCTGAGTGAAAGAGGCGCTTTGTTGCGTTTTTTGTGGGACTGGAAAAAAATGCCCAGAACGTTATTAAACGGTTCCAATGCTTTTAAAATAACGTTTCTGCTTTCGCTCTCGGTTCCTTAAGAAATGTCAGTCTTTTCCGGTTTCGTTCCCTGAACAGGTTCCAACCCCTGTTTCTTTGTTCAACAAGTATATTATTCTTATGGCTTTATCTAGGTCTATTTGTGATATTTTACCTTGCCTTGTTGGCTTGCTAGGTTATCAATCCTCTGATGACATCTGCGTTGTTGACGATAACCATCTGATTACGTATTTGTTAACTTGCATGCGCTGCATTTGAAGTTGCATGTGATCTTATCCACTGCTAGGTACACAGAGGTTTTTGATGACGAACTATGCGCTCAACTTTTCATGACGCAGCCGGGAAATGAGTCTATAGGATCATGTCTTCTTATTCAAACTGCAGTAAGGCACAGCAGCAGTATGCATGACTTCAGCTAATTGTTTTTCCTTACCACGTGACCTGACCAGAAAAACTAAACCCATGGTTATAGGCTTTAAAAAGGGGCAAACAGCAGTTGAAACAACAAAGCGCTATTGATGCAAGGACTGACCATCCAAAATATCACAATTATAGTTAAGCATATTTTAAGTCTATACAGTTTTTTGTTACAAACATGGGGCACGGTAGTTGAACTAAGCGCATGAGGCACTTAAATTATATTCTACAAGAAATCAATGAATACCATTTATTTATAAGTCCAAAAATGGATGTGGCAACTGCAGATTGCCCTTTTAACTAGAGCACCATTTTTGGAAAGCACTTCATAGCCTGTGTTATCATACTGTTACAGAATCCCCTTGTCGAGGGCGCTACATCATTGTGTTGTGTGCGCATTTGTTTATTTGCTTTCTGGAGCCGCGCTGTCTGGCTCTTACTCATCCTCACCCTTTCTCCCCCTCACGTGAGAGATTGATCATCTCCAGCTCGTGGCTTCCGCCAACTAGACAATAGCTATGTGTCTCACCCCTGTGCACGCTCTAGCCATGCAGTCTCTCCAAGCCCTAATTGGCTAGCCAGCCTGACCCACACTCTCCAAGGGAGTAAATATGGCCCGTACCCGAACGGTCTTTTCAGTTTCCCAGTTTGAGTGTGGGTGGACTGGTGTGCATGGGGATGCGTGAAAACATACGTTTGCATCACTATTGTTATGCCTGTTGGATGTGTTTACCACATGTGCTACAAATAGATATGACCTCTTCTTGCCATTTACGTTGCCTATTTGGGTATAGCTTCACTGTGTTCATTGAATGTTTATTGTTAGTAACACGAGTCACAAATAGTGCTCATGCTATGTAATACATGGTTATTAGTTGTTCTATTCATTGTATATATTGTATTCATAATCATTCCTTCATGAATAGCTTATCCCATTGTATTGCACTCCGCACATATCTATGCTGTGTATTTATCTCCTGTATAGCATATTCATTATCTCTCGGTCTCTGTACCTTCACAGAACCATCCCCATGTTAATCTTCCTCAGGGTGTTTAAATGAAGTTCCTCTGTGTTAACTCTTGGGCTGCTTTATTCCCCTCTAACCGGGGGCGGTGTCAGTGGGTCACAAACCAGTAAAATACGTAGAGCCGGGTCGCTCTCTTTCACATACCATATCCCCAACAGCAAAGCTATACATTATTGCTTCACAGCCATTTCTTCTGCGGATCAAACAGCTCACCAGTGATGTTGATGCGGTCTCCTGGCTGTACTTTGTCGACCAGGTCATTGTGAGCGTACACTATGGTGGTGTGAGGGGTCTGCCCAGCAGGCATGTCATCAGGAGACTCCTGCACTTTGATCTGAAAGGGGAGAGGGAAAAAAAAGAATTAGAGTGAGAAAACCAGAGCTCTGCTTCTTCAGAGCTGTGTCTGGGAATACACTAGTATTGGATTTGTGTTCTAACCTTATGGAGTAATGGGTATCTGAACTAAACCACCATCTCATCAATTCTGTTCAGCAGCATCCAAGCAAATGATATCTTCCATTTAAAGTAAGCAGACTGTCATACAGTATAACAACACCCCCCTGCCCTCTTCGTGGTCTTGTCCTACTATATACACTACTGTTCAAAAGTTTGGGGTCACTTAGAAATGCCTTGTTTTCGAAAGAAAAGCAATTTATTGTAGCTTGAAACGGCTGATTTTTAATGGAATATCTACGGAGGCGTACAGAGGCCCATTATCAGCAACCATCAGTCCTGTGTTCCAATGGCACGTTGTGTTTGCTAATCCAAGTTTATCATTTTAAGTAGTACACAGCGTTGTACGAGATATTCAGTTTCTTGACAATTTCTCGCATGGAATAGCCTTCATTTCTCAGAACAAGAATAGACTGACGAGTTTCAGAAGAAAGTTATTTGTTTCTGGCCATTTTGAGCCTGTAATCGAACCCACAATTGCTGATGCTCCAGATACTCAACTAGTCTCAAGAAGGCCAGTTTTATTGCTTCTTTAATCAGCACAACAGTTTTCAGCTGTACTAACATAATTGCAAAAGGGTTTTCTAATGATCAATTAGCCTTTTCAAATGATAAACTTGGATTAGCAAACACAACGTGCCATTGGAACACAGGACTGATGGTTGCTGATAATGGGCCTCTGTACGCATCCGTAGATATTCCATTAAAAATCAGCTGTTTCAAGCTACAATAGCCATTTACAACATTAACAATGTCTACACTGTATCTCTGATCAATTTGATGTTCTTTTAATGGACAAAGAAATTGCTTTTCTTTCAAAAACAAGGACATTTCTAAATGACCCCAAACTTTTGAACAGTAGTGTATATATTTTTAAAACTTCTAGTGCCTTCTTTCTCTCCCCATAGCTCACCATCTGTTTGTCGGAGAAGGCCGAGCGGTTATGGATGAGGGCCAGACTGTGGGTGGTGTTGCAGTTGCGGCACACGGCGGGCTCTGCGATGCGGCCACGGTCCACCTCCACGCGGGTAGAAAAAGCACACACCTGGCACTGGAAGAAGGCCTCCTGCATCTCTGGGATCAGCTGGGAGGTCCTGATCACCATGCCACTGATGGTGATCATTTGGTCAATGTCTGGGAGGAGAGGGACAGATGAAGATTGTATTAAGTACTGAGCAGTATAGCACCAGATGTGTTTTCAAAATTGTTACTTGTTTCAAACATTTTAGTTATGCTTGACAGCTTGCCCGGAGCAATGGAACCAATGGAAGTCCCAAAAGTGCAAATCTGCCACTCTAGGCCGCAGGCTCATTCAAACACTCAAATTTGAAAGAAAATCAATACAATGTTTAATTGAGCATAATTCACTCTTCATATGGTTTATAGTGCAATAGATGTTTGTGCGTTGTTCAGGGAAGCTAGTCATCCATCAGATTACATGGTCTATTACTAGGGCTGTTACAGTTCCCGTATTATAGCCACACTGGCAGTCACCAGTCATGACTGCAGTCAAATTCCACATGACCGATGAGTCACAGTAACTAGGCTTTTTTTGTGGGCCACTAAATCAAATAATTCCACACATATTAGTAGTCTATATGTAAATACCAGATTAAATTCAGAATAGTCTGATGGGTGAGAATACTATCGAGTGCTTGTCAAATTGCAAATAAGAGACTGATGAAGTGTGTGCAGCCTGTGCGAGAAACATGCAAACTTTCTTCAAATCATCATTAGAGTCGCATCATGCAGCCTTAGAATGTATTAGAAATCAAAACATAGCATAAGGTTTGTGTCACAACTAAAGTTGCATAAATGACTAAATTAAGCATATAGGACATGTTTTAAATGATTATTTTGTTAACCACTCAACACAGAATAGCAGCATGCATGTGTGCACTTCCTCAGAAAAATATCATTTCTATTCTATTCAGCTATGTTCAATTGTATTCTTCTTACTATAAAATAATATAAAATGCCACAGGAATTATAAGCTGCTAAATGAACTAGAGCCATAGTCTATTACCTTCAGGGTTCAGGCTCCTCATGTTCCTGGTCTTCAGGGCATTGTACGGCCGCACCTGGATCTGGTGCTCCAAGATGGAGTCTGGGAAACGCTCAAAGAACAGCTCATTGACAGCCATGTCAAACGTGGGTATGACTTCCTGTGAAAGAGATATAGGAGAAACAAAGTTATGAATCACCATTCTTATTGGTATGCCCACATAATGAAACATATTGTATCTCTATGCCCATTTTAATAAATGGTAGAAAAATATTTAGCAGACAAATATTACAGCAAACCACCTGTACTAGCTGTCACAATTTAATTTAATACTGTCATAAGTGAAACATTTTAACTTTGCATTCATAGCCCATTACCCTCCATCAATATTAAGGGGTCCTAAAACATTTCCATATGTTAGCTTAGTAGAACCCCCTCCCCAGACTCTAGAGGGTTAATGTGTTAGACCGTCTGGTGCGTGCGTGTTTACCTGGGGGTAGGAGATGAGCTGCCTGTACAGGTCCGCGTCAAAGGACTGCACATGGCCGCAGTTGATGTTCAGCACAGGCTCACCAACCACACTGATCTAGAGGGACAGCAGAAATAGAAAATGAACATCACTGCAAAAGAATAAGCGCAATTTTGCAATACTAGTCTCAAGAATACCTCAAGAAAACAAATACAAGAAATCCAACAATAAAGGACTAGATGTAAATGGTTTATCACTGTTTTAGGTGTCACGCAGAGCTAGGGGGTGGGGGACCCTACCTCCTCCAGCTTTTGCATGTAGAGAGGCTCATTCAGGTCCAAACCAGCATTCTCATCCTCATTGGAAGTCGGGTCAATGAACCTCTGCAGGAATCTCTGTGGGAAAATGAACAATAATAGCATTAACTAAGCTCTAAAAATAGATTGAACTCAATTTTTTATCAATTAGATTTGTATTATTTATTTTTCTACACCAATGACTGCACAGCCCTAAGGTTAACTTCCATACCTGGAACTTCTCCTTGCACGTTCCCACGTTGACATCAGTGCCCCAGATAACCAGCTTCTGACCCGCTGCCTGCTCACTGGCTACTGCACCATCTGCACTTGGCTGGTGGAAGAGAAAATGGCATTAGCTGTTATAGATTTCCTAACAATGTCATTCTATATCTATATAGCATAGGCCGTTAGCGATTTGCTAACGCTATCATTCTATAGCTAAATAGCATTAGCTGTTACAGATTTCCTAACTATCATTCTCCATATAGGAGTGTTTCTCTACTCACCGGCTCAGAGTGGAGGTCCACCTGGGGGGCCTTCCTGACGGAGCCCAGGTCAGGGCGCTGTCTGGCTGGGGTGCCACGCACACCACTGCGGGGGGTGCCCTCCACCCTGGAGCTAGGAGTCCCGTACATTAGAGGGGAGCTCATGTCCACTTCACTGGGGAGAACTGAGGAGACGACATTGACTTAACATTGAGTGACATCACAGGGTCAAAATCTCAGTTCTTTTAAGTACAGTTCCAGTTTCTTTTTTGCAGTTGTGCTGCATAAATGATCTGGGCCCGTATCCACAAAGCATCTCAGAGTAGGAGTGCTGATCTTGGATCTGTCCATATTAATCATATTCATTATTTTCTAAAAGGCTAAACAGATCCTAGATCAGAACTCCTACTCTGAGACGCTTTGTGGATATGGGCCCAGATCTCACAAAGCCTGGAGAAGTGTTTGTGTATCAGAAATAGCAATACAGCAGAAATATATATTTATGCGACTGCAAAAAATACTATCTCAAACAGGATCATTCTGTGTGTCAATGCTGGAGAGGCGGTTACCTGAGCGGCGTGGGCTAGAGAACAGAGAGGTGTCAAGGACTGCAGGGCTGGCAATGTCTGTGGCTGGAGACGTGGGCATGGCTGGCAGATCCCCGTTGGAGGAGTCCTGACCTCTCCGCCGCTGGGAAGGAGGGGAGACCAGGCCATCACTGTCCGCTACAGAGACAGAAAAAGACATAGAGTTGGTTAGCTCAGATAAGACTGCTTCCTTTCATGTGATTTATAAGTCCTTGAGTGTTATATATTCAATGAAACATAGAATATCACTGTACAAAATCAACCAGTAAATATCGTTTATGGTACTCTGAGAAGCTTTTGCTGTCAACTTACGAGTGGCTGGAATGGCATCCCTGCTGCGCTTGCGTCCACCGGGAGTTGATGTTGGTGAAGACATTCTGAATGATCACAGGTCCTAGAAATTAAATCTGGTTGATTATACGGTCAAAAAAAGTTACACTCATGTATGCGTCATTAGCTCGTAAAATAACATTATGCAACCAGTAACTAACATAGTGGAGTTTAACTACAATTTGCTAATAACAAAGCCAGTTGTTAGTTATGTCACTAGCTAACTAGTTAACGTTAGTTGTTGGTAGCTACTTGCATTCTTTTCGACGTGCAATGAAACAATGCATCCTAGCCAGTTAGCTAAATTCGCTAGTTAGCAAGCTGGGAAGTCAACTAAACTTCCGAAAGAGTTTGTAAACTAGAAAGAAAATATTGATTGTAAATCCTTAACTAAGTACATTCTCTAAATATATATTCCTAATCATTTTTTGTCAAATACTTTGATGGCTGGCATGTTCAAGACAACTGTAAACAGTAGGTAGCTAGCGCAAGTTATCAATAGAGAGAAAGATACTGTAGCTAGCTAGTATCAGTGCATGAAAGGCACTACTAGCCGAGGAAACCCAGTCAGATTTTACTTAAAAATCCGGTATTAACACTTCCAAACACATAATCTGAATTTGCTTTAACAACATAAAACATTTAATAAGAAATTACCAATCGAGTTAATTTAACTTTTGATAACTTTAGTAATAGCTAGCTACAGTATCTTACAATGACTTTTCTTACCTACTACGCAATGCATTTGGCGCGAAATTGTGGGTGTGACGTTATAGTCCCGGGAAACTTTGCACCAATAGCAAAGCTAAACTACTTGAGCGCTAACCATTTGCATTTGCACATCAATGGGGTTCCGGAGTGTCTTAATGTCAATACGGTTAAACATTTTCACGGAATACATGAATAATCGTATTTGTTGTAAGTATTTCATTATTATTTCAAGACTAGACCCATTATTTTCATTGCAATAATTGTGTTCACCTAAAGGTCTGGGTAATCCCCCCGTCAGTCTTATTCGTTTCACCCGACATATTCCACTCAGGGGCGCTAGTGTAAACTTTTACCACAAGGTGGCGTATGTGCCATGAGAAATGTGTACATTTTTCGACTATCACTGGAAAAATAAAGAATGCGTATCCTTAGGTTTTCATAGAATTTATGGGAATTACATGAAACAGAAATTCCGGGAACACATCAAACATGCAGAATTGCTCTTACCATAAGTAATTACTCTGCATTCCTCTTCTATATAGTAATAATGCCTTTATATCAAATGAATAACCATGATAACCTACTTCCCAGGGCCATCATGGACATTGAATTTAATTTATAGACAACTGCATATGCAATCTGTGAATATAAAATATTGTTCATTATGTAACATATCCACTGTCCACAATGTCATATGACCAGAGACGTGCACTTGACAGTTTACATCAGTGGTTCCCAACCAAGGGTCCTTGGACCTATGGGGGTACTTGGCCTACCCACAGTAGGTACTTGAGAAGACTCATGAGACCATAGGCCTACTGGTAAAATCCACATGAGGGGGTACTTCAGGGGTAGGCCAAGTACCCCCATTGGACAGAGCAAAATTCAATTGGTGGTACCGTAACCAAAAGTTGGGAACCACTGGTTTACATGATGCCTATAAAAACTCTGGCTCCATACACGCAGCATGAAATTGTGCGCTTGTCAATGAGGGAATTTGATTAATCTGGCCCGGGCGACGTGGCGTGTTTTGCACCGGGTGAAAGTGTATTGCATTCGTTTTGGGGACCGGGCTACCTACCGGGCGTGAGCCAGGTGCCCCGTTTAAAGCCCACGGCGAAGTCGCCTCAAAACAAAAGTGAAGTAATTAAGCATGTGGAATAATGAGTAGGATTCTGTGTTTTCACATGCAAAAGTGATCGCTTTGATAAAAACGCTTATCTGCCTTCAAAATGAAAACTAGTTTGAAAATTCAAACATATTTTATGGAAAAGTGATGTGTTTCTGGACACATTGACATGGCCTCGTTGACATGACCGAGCGGCGCAGATTACTGTTCGATTTGTGAATTGCGCTCCTCCCTCACCGCTTTTTCCCGTTTACGTCACGGGTCATAGTCCGGTGCCCTGCGGCTCAGCATAATCTAATCCGCCCAATACACTCGTAGTAAAGAAAGTGGGTGGCATGTGCGCACACCCTTCTCTCCTCAAATGGGAGCAAGGGAGACCACGTGATTCAAACTTGACTCTACTGGCTTGTCAAAGGGGGAGGTAAAACTTTGACGTAAGCAGAGGAAAGATACAAAGTACACTCCGCGAAATACGGAAGCTTCAGAGAAGTTAGGAGTTACATATTACTCACAGATCTTAACCTACAGTGACTATACCGCCACTATTTTAGGATAAACCTAAACACCACTTAAAAGAAGCAACGGTGGGGAAAAGGAAGAGAAGCTCCAGTAATACAGAGTGAACGTGATACATTGTATCAAGCTTGTTCCAACTACCTGGCTACTAAGTCACAATATATTGACGTCCGATCCCACGAGGGCAGAAAGCAGAGTTCATGTGTGATATATACAGCCTGGATTCTCAGTGCGTATCTCCACAATGCAACATGAGTTGGGCGATGGAGCCTACAAACTTCTACGACAATAAGCTGAGCAACGGTCTCCAGGGGGTCTGCAAACCCGGGAGAGGTGATCACAGCACGGTCACGGGCGAGGACACCACCATGGCCGAGCTAAGCACAGCCCCTGCAATGTACGACGACGAGAGTGCCATCGACTTCAGCTCCTACATAGAGTCGATGACAGCAGTACCACACCTGGAACTCTGCAACGATGAACTTTTTCTTGACTTATTCAACACTGTGAAGCAAGAGAAGACAGACTTCTACATGCCAAGCTCGACTACGTCGTCCAGCAATATGCAGCAGCTGACAAACTGTTCAACCAACGCATACGCAGTTGGAAGCCAAAAAGAGTTCGAGAGGAAGCTTAAGGCTGGATTTGACAGCAAGGGGGTCTTCAGTGCACCGATCAAGCAGGAATCGGACTGGAGCGACAATGACATGTCCTCGTCGTTACCTTCCCAAATCAAAACCTGCGCACAGACCTCCGTGAGCCTTCCCATGGGACAACCAACTCCACCAACAACCCCAGAGCCCCTCTCAAGCCTCTCAGCCCACTCCTCTCCTCGGAAGGTCGGAAAGGAGAAAGGGAAAAAGAATATTGACAGGTACAGCCAAGAGTACCGCCAGAGACGTGAGAGGAATAACGTTGCAGTGAGGAAAAGTAGGGACAAGGCAAAGCAACGCAACGTGGAAATGCAGCAAAAGATGCTTGAACTGGGTTCAGATAATGACAGATTACACAAAACTATCGATCAGCTAACCAGTGAGCTCACTGGCCTGAGGGAATTCTTCAAGCAGCTTCCCAATCACAACTCCTCGTTTGTGGGGACCACGGGTGGAGACAGCCGGTGACCAATTAATCTCACTTTCTAATTAACAACTTTTGAAATACATACCTCAACACAGATTTATTACCATCTGTAACAGATGCATTATAAACAAGCTTACATTTATGGCACTGGAAATGTAGGCCTACTCCCATATTGTTGCCATAGTCTTTTTGGGGGATTTTTTTTTCTATATTAAATTATTTTACCACTTCATTTACTTGTTGTTATACCAGATATGGTACATGTTTTATAATTCCAAACTTTGTAAGAGCAAGAGCATGTTTGAATTTGTATATAGTTTATATAAAATAAAAAAAACTAGAAATATTTGTCTATATGGAATCTCTAATAAAAGTGCTGAAAAGTCATACAAATCAACTGGTCTATGAGTGTGTTTGGGATGAATATATTAGTACATATCTGTGATTATAAATTACTTGGCATGGTTAAAGTGTGTTTTATGTGGATCTGGTGTTTGCAAGAATCTACCTCTAGAATTACATTTTCACAGCTAGTGGACGAAAGTACAGAAAAAGGTAAACAAACACACTAACATATAATACAAGGTTTATTTACACAGTAAAAGCACCATTCATCTTCAGAGATATATTAGGAGGTAGGTATTCAAGGAAACACTTTGAAAGAAACGTGTGGCTATATACAGCAAACAGGCATATTTTACAGTCACCAGTTGGACCCACGTGAGCCAAGTCTGACATGTTACTCCTCTCTGGTCCTTCAGTTCTAACCTTGGGCTGTCAGCTCCAGGGTCCTAACATATCAGTAACATACAAACAGATCTATTTTTCCACCCTAACTATTCACGCTCCGTACAGAGAGAGCCTGTGGGGCAGCGGCCTGGCTGGGCTGAGGCGGCCTCCTAGTCCTACAGATTGATTTCATGGGATCCCTCTCCAAACTTTTGACAGCCTCAGAGGCAGATCTCTTCCAGGCCGATCCACAGGGCAGGTTTCCTGGTGACCACGCGGACGTATGCGCTGAGGGGTCCCACCTCCTTCCCCAACACATTCTCCACCTCGTAACCTGGGAACTGCAGAACAATCAACCTAACCATGGATCTATAGTCATAGGCTAGTCTAAGAGTAAGACTTATATACAAGTTAGACATGCTCAATGAGAACAAAAGTTGGAGCTAAGCTAAACATCAAAAGTGAATGTTACTCTATAATATCATTTCTAATGACAAAAACACAGTATTATTATTAGATTGGGGGGGAAAACACCCAATGCAAAAACTCAATAGTAAATATTTGTACTGGGTATGTGGCGCTGATCCACCTCAATTAACCTGGATTGTTGGGTTGCCCTTATTCTCAATAATGGATGTATGCCAGGTTATCAACAATATCCATTCTAGAATGCTGGATGGTATATGGTGGTCAGAGCCATATATTTAGATATATGGCTCTGATAGGGGTATGTGGTGATACTGGTGTTTGTAGATTAGAAGGCAATATAGATACAACTCCAGCGAGACTAGTATCATCTGGCTCCTCTTACAGTATTGATCTGTGTGAGTAAGTCCGGCCATTGTTCTAAACAGATCTCTTAACACAGTCTAACTATGGGATATTAGACAGATGACAATGATGTCACTGTCAGCAAATATACTGAAAGTCTAACACATAGGAGGATCAAAATGCTATACTGGTGCACTAAACTGAGAGGTAAGTACTGTCTGCATAAAAAGGCAGGTACAGTGTATTACATAACGTGAGAGAGAGAGAGAGAAAAAGAGAGAGAGAGAGCGCTCACCTCATGGCCAGAGGCTGCACAGTTCAACACAGATATGATGGTGCTCTGTTGGAGCTAGAAAACAGTAGACAGAATAGTCACCATACTAGTTGGAATGGTCTGGACTGGACTGTCAAACTAGAGTTCTTCATATTAGCGGTTTTATTAAATTATGTCATATTACATTACAGCACATACCTTATAATAATGTAATAAGATATTATAAGCATGGACTTTGTCATAGCGTTTTTAACAGTTTAATCTTACCATTAATGATACAATCTAAGACTATATGACAGTGACACTATAAGAAAATACAGAAGTATTGGTATACACTTCATGCTAAAATATGTTTTGAGCTCACACCTTGATTAAGATTAGATTTGATCAACCATCCCTTTATATTACTTTATGCTTATGCACTGCTAGGTCACACATTGAAAATACACACATTTGCCAATACACAACCTAAACTCAAAATCCTGTCTCACCTTTACTTTCACAGTGCAGTCCTTTAGTGTAGAACAATTCATGAACACTTCAAGCTGCATGTTCATCGTTGGTTGGTCAACCAGTGAATCACAAGCAACACAAAGGAATGCTTGACTGGGGACAACAGACATAATGCAGATATTGACATCACATTTCAACCATAATACAGAAGTTCCCTTTGCGAAATATTAAAAGTAATTCTATTCTATTGGTAAACCAATAAGATACAATCAGTTAATTAGGCTTATCCACTATAGCACATCAGCAGATGAATTGAAGACTTACGGCTTTTGGGGTGCCATCTCCAAGCGGTCGCTCCCACACAGGCTGCAGACTGGCCAGGAGTAGGCCGTGTCCTCATCCACACCAACTATCACACCTGCCAACACCAACACAACCATCAGCACTAGCCAGGGAAACAACCCTCTATAGGGCACCACACTGACTAAACTGCCTAACAGGCAAGCAACATGGGTGGAAACTGGGACTTAGCAGTGTAACAACTTTATCAATATTCTTGAGGCCACTGTGGTATGGATTAAAAAGGAAAGATAAAACAAGCTCAGTAAGAAAATAGGAATGTCATTTTAGGGTCAAAATAAAAGAAATCAAGTCTGAAGCCCCATTATTCTGATCTGTGAGTTGATACGGATAGCAAGTGTTTACTTCCTTAAAGAACTGACACAATCATAGTTAACAACCCAAGATATCCCCCCCCCCACACACACACCTTATGTAAAATAGATACACAATTTCCAACCGATAAAAAAAATGCAGCATTCACACAGAGCCAGGCAAGCTGCTATAAGTTAGAACTTAATTACGAGTGCAGATAAATACACATTATACACTATTCTACACTACAGAGCCAAGCACAGCTGTACCGTGCTGGCCTGGTTATGCATCTACCATAGCGTCTGGAACCATGCTGGAAATGACCATTTGAAAAGAAACTAATCTGAGCCAGCACTGCATGGGGTTCAGCACAGCATTCAGGTTAGCGTGAATAGTGTGAATCAGACACTGGTGTTTGTTGTATTATTCAGCCAGCTGATCCAACATGGAAGATGAGTGAGAGAGACCTGAACTAATCAAAAGGGTTCACAGTTTCACCTTCGATCTCTCCTGTGACACAGGGTGCTAACAGATGCAGCTTATCGTGATTTACTCAACTTTCCCTGCGTTGCATATAAAATAAGACTGTAGACAGACAGTGAATGTATTTTGTGCCAGTATCTTAAGCGCTTAAGTTACTCTGTAGTTTGAGTGGATCACTTAATCAGATTCATATCATTACCATTGAGGTTAGCATAACAGTTTGACGGTTGTGTATCTTCTCCTATCTGCAGTTAGTAAACAGAGAAAGAGCAGCTTCTCCTGAGTGATGAGTCCTTCAATAAACATTCACCAAAACATATTGGATTAACGAACTAAAAACACAAACCAAGTAAATTCTACTTACAAATTACTCTGCATCTATAGAAACACGTTTTGAGTGTTAAGTAAATTCCTTGAATGATTTGTTCCTATCAATAGATAGAGTCCACAGGTTGAAAGGTTGTCAGAATCAGTGGCTCAACCGCATGAGGGAAACTGTGAATGACAGCGGAAGAACACAATGCATTCGACTAGCCACACGAAGGCCTCTCTGTATTTGTTACTTTGTGAGAGACAAACAGGCAACAGCCACAAAACACTCAAAACCGTTTGTCTGTCTGTCTAATAAAACAACAATTATGCGGGCTAACCCTGAAAAATAATTTATCAAGGAGGAGAGCGTGACTTTTTAAAAACATAAAAAATATTTTTCAAGCCACAAGTGTGAATGAATGCAGTGTACAGTATAAACTGACCCGAGAACGTGCAGAGGGAGTTAGGTGGTGTTTCTGGACCCAGGGGATCCAGCTTCACAGGTTGTGGTAAGGCCTGAGGAAGGACATGGGGCTGGGCTTGAGGTAGGGGCTGAGTTAAGGGCTTTGCCTGGGACAATGACAGTGACCCTGGGCCCAGTGTGCTCTCGGTCTCCGGGCAGCACACAGATACCAGAGGCTGCAGCTGCACAACTGACTGCTCCACACACAGGATCACACCTGAACATGGAGAGAAATCATGGCATAGCGTCATAAAACAGTAGTTAACCCTGACATTGGAGGTGCTTCCATTATTAATAGTTTTGGGGAAGCAGCAGCCATGTGACTTCAGATGTCCTACAGTATGCACTACATAGTGGCTAATGCAGTATACACTATATAGTGACAGACTAGATTAATAACACCATGCCTTTGTCCCAAATGGAACCCTATTCCCTATGTAGTGTACTACATAGGAAATAGGGTTCAATTTGGGATGCAAGCCATGATATTGCAGTAAAACAGTACCATGCTCTCTGACCGAGTCCCTGAATGACAAGCAGCAGGCGCTGGGGGTGGGGGTGCTTATTGCCTTGGCGACAGAGGAAGTGAGCACACAGGAAGTGGTCACACACACAGCCAGTGTTCGTCTGCATGGTGGCCCCTCGTGCTGCTGATCCTCCTGCAAACTGGGGTCAGTCACCACCAGCCAAACCTCCCCTGGGCTCTGACCCACATCACCACTCTGAGACTGGAGGGGAGAGAGATGGGGGGGAGACGGAGATGGTGGGGGCTATCATTCATATCAGCCAAGATGATAATAAAGAGAGCAAGAGAAAAAGGGAGAGGGGATCAGTCGTTAGTGTAGATTATTAGAGAGAGAGACAACGGGAGAGAGAAAGAACGGAGAGAGAGACAAGAGAAACGAGAGAGAAACAACGAGAGAGAGAGAGACAACGAGAGAGAGACAACGAGAGAGACAGACAACGAGAGAAAATGGGCATGAGAGACTATGAGCTTACTTGGAAAGTACAATTCTAAGTGTCTTAGTGAATAAACACCTTTCTGTCTGTATCTGTTTGTGCATCAAATAAAAAACATTAGGCTCTGCTAGCTCAGTCTGGTTGCTCAGAATCATCTATTTGATGACTGACATGAAAAACAGAGTGGGATAGACAGAAAGTGTTGGACTTTGCCACTCGCTTTGTTCTGGGCTGTTATCTCCCTCCCAGTGGTCAAAGTGTAAAGGTTTCACTGACCAACAGTAAAAAAACGGCTGGTAGATAATGTAGGTTAGTATGCATACAGATGGTGAAGGCGGTTTGCCTCGTTTATCAACACAGTAAGTTCAAATGAATCCCCACTGTCCACCACAGCAGGACGTGATCATGTTCCTGTCAACTCTAACTACATTGTGTTACATCTACACGTCTCTAAAAAGATAGATATCACAGATAACAGTTTCTTAGTCACACTATACATTCTTATTGAAATCCAAGGATGCATTTAAAAGTACCTGCATTCTCTTGTGGATGACAGTGGCGACAAAGCTACAGCGATGGCTGTTGAGCACACACTGAAACAGATATGACAGGCCATTACTACAATGCATATTTGATCGATCACCACTGGTTCAACAAAGTCAGAGTAAAGGAAAAATGTGTAATCTGGTCTAAACAACTCAAATGTTTGGAGGAATAGTTGGGGAGGTAAAAACAGTAAGGGTTAGACTTCAGTTCTCGCTCTCTCTCTCTGTGTGTGTCACTAGTTACCTGCAGTATGTCTCTGAGGGTTTGTTCTGTAGGAGGCAGGTATAGAGAGGATAAAGACTGTCCCTCTACAGGCTCCACAGAGCCCTCTTGGCCAGACAGCAGGTAACAGAAGCTTGGGGCTGGGCCTTTGGGTCTGCTGTCCTACAACCAAAACAAACACATGGAATCAAGGTAATTCACTACGTGCAGAGTATTCATAGCCAGCTTATTCATAGTTAGCTTATTCTAACATAAATTAACCATAATAACATGGGTTCTCAATATCAACTGGAAATACTGTATACACTACCGTTCAAAAGTTTTAGAACACCTACTCATTCAAGGGTTTTTCTTTAATTTTACTATTTTCTACATTGTAGAATAATAGTGAAGACATCAAAACTATGAAATAACACATATGGAATCATGTAGTAACCAAAAAAGTGTTAAACAAATCAAAATATATTTTATATTTGAATTCTTCAAATAGCCACCTTTTGCTTTGATGACAGCTTTGCACACTCTTGGTATTCTCTCAACCAGCTTCACGAGGTAGTCACCTGGAATGCATTTCAATTAACAGGTGTGCCTTCTTAAAAGTTAATTTGTGGAATTTCTTTCCTTCTTAATGCGTTTGAGCCAATCAGTTGTGTTGTGACAAGGTATGCAGAAGACAGCCCAATTTGGTAAAAGACCAAGTCCATATTATGGCAAGAACAGCTCAAAGAAGCAAAGAGAAACGCAGTCCATCATTACTTTAAGACATGAAGGTCAGTCAATAAGGAACATTTCAAGAACTTTGAAAGTTTCTTCAAGTGCAGTCGCAAACACCATCAAGCGCTATGATGAAACTGGCTCTCATGAGGACCGCCACAGGAATGGAAGACCCAGAGTTACCTCTGCTGCAGAGGATAAGTTCATTAGAGTTACCAGCCTCAGAAATTGCAGCCCAAATAAATGCTTCACAGAGTTCAAGTAACAGACATCTCAACATCAACTGTTCAGAGGAGACCGTGTGAATCAGGCCTTCATGGTCGAATTGCTGCAAAGAAACCACTACTAAAGGACACCAAAAAGAAGAGACTTGCTTGGGCCAAGAACCACGAGCAATGGACATTAGACCGGTGGAAATGTGTCCTTTGGTCTGGAGTCCAAATTTGTCTTTGTGAGATGCGGTGTGGGTGAACGGATGATCTCCGCATGTGTGGTTCCCACCGTAAAGCATGGAGGAGGAGGTGTTATGGTGTGGGGGTGTTTTGCTGGTGACACTGTGTGATTTATTTAGAATTCAAGGCACACTTAACCAGCATGGCTACCACAGCATTCTGCAGCAATACGCCATCCCATCTGGTTTGGGCTTAGTGGGACTATCATTTGTTTTTCAACAGGACAATGACCCAACACACCTCCAAGATGTGTAAGGGCTATTTAACCAAGAAGGAGAGTGATGGAGTAATGCACCAGATGACCTGGCCTCCACAATCCCCCGACCTCAACCAAATTGAGATGGTTTGGGATGAGTCGGACCGCAGAGTGAAGGCAGTTCTCAGCATATGTGGGAACTCCTTCAAGACTGTTGGTAAAGAATTCCAGGTGAAGCTGGTTGAGAGAATGCCAAGAGTGTGCAAAGCTGTCATCAAGACAAAGGGTGGCTATTTGAAGAATCTCAAATATAACATATTTTGATTTGTTTAACTATTTTTTTGGTTACTACATGATTCCATATGTGTTATTTAATAGTTTTGATGTCTTCACTATTATTCTACATCGTAGAAAATAGTAGAAATAAAGAAAAACCCTTGAATGAGTAGGTGTTCTAAAAACCTTTGACCGGTAGTGTATACATCGTTCACGTGAGTTTCAATTGCGGAAAAGGCAGGGTATGATACTCAATGGAATATTGAATAACCTACATCTTGACAGCTCTGGTTTTCTCCAAGTACTTTGAGGGGCATCACTGGTGGCCAGAGGCTGTCTATCAGGCTGAAGAGTCTGGTACACCTGTGAGAGCGAGAGAAGAAGAGAGGGAGGGAGAGGGGTTGGAAAGGGAAAAGACAGTGAACTACAGGGTACACAGAGTGGGAGGTGCAACAATATCACAGTTGGTTTCCCTTTTATGGAATCACAGATCTGTTAAGACAGGGCACTTTTTAGCTTCCACAGAATCAACAGAAAGCATGCTGAGACTGGTGCGACAGAGACACACTCTCGCTCTCACTTCTTTATCACTATCAATCTGACTGCTGAAAAGATAAGCCGTCTCCCTGCACAGACCTGCAGCTTAGAGAGTTTTTGCAGAGGAGAGCCTATATGCACCTTAGAAATTATTTGCACTGACTACTCACACATCCAACCCTTCCACCTAAACACCAATAAACAAACAAACACACCCACACTCAGAACTCACACACAGCTGTTGTTCTTTTATATACTACTGATTCCACTACCCACTTTATATTTGTAAATACAGCCCATTATTACTATGCATACTACTTCCTTCTATTACTTCTATGTTATTTTGACTTGACTCTTTGCATTGCTATTATTGATTAATGTACTGCATTGTTGAGGGAGCTATCGCATAAGCATTTCGCTGCCCCTTTTGTACCCACTGTAAACTGTGTACGTGAAGAATACAATTGTTTTGATTCTTACACACACCAACAAATGGAACATAGAGCAAACACCCCATGTAGGGTGTCCAATCAAAAAACGCATATTTTGACCAATGTAAAATAATATGTTAATTGCGTAGATACTCCTCTAAGAAAACTATTGGTCCAAATCTCATGTCTCTATCATAATCCATTAAAGTTATTGGAGTTTTTACCCTTTTAGGATGGCCAAAATTAGGGTGACTAAATCAATGGATGCTGTGCGTGAATTAAGACTAACTGACAGGCTCACCGTTGAACTCGTTGTCTTTCTTCTCGAATCCGGAGGACATAAAACAATATAGAGGTAAGATAGATATCAATTTTGAAACATGACACTAAACATTTTCATATTTTAGTATACGCTTTTCATATTAATGCATAAAACTTCTTATTGTCGAAGCCTGTGCTTATTATCGGATGTATTATGTTACAAAATCGGACTTTTTGGATATAATGTTAATGACATGTTAGAGAAAGACCCCACTGAACGATTCAGAACATGAATAATCATATTTGTCTTGGTAAAATGTATTTTTTAACATAAGGAAGTGAAATTTCACCACCAAAGCATGTTTTCACACACAAAAACAAGTGTTGTTTCAATTGACAAATGTTGCTGTTGCTTTGAGGCGCCCCGTCTAGAAAATCAAACTAGGGGACCTACTGAGAGGAAGACTGAAAAAAGCGATGCTTCCACCCCCACCCTAAACGCCCAGAAGCAAAATAAATTAAACCTGTCCTTGAGTTCAGGGCCAGTCAGTCAGTGTGTGTGTGTGTGTGTGTGTGTGTGTGTGTGTGTGAGAGAGAGAGAGAGAGGGGTTGGGTTGTCATTACTATTCCTCCTCTTTGGTGCTGTCACTCAGTCTGTTTTAGTCGGTTGTTAAGAACCGGTTCCCCAGGTCCTAATCACAGGGTATCTGTGTAAAGAACTGGCTCTGCACCCTGGGCTGGTCCAACAGGTCAGGGTGAAGAATGAGCTCACCTCACACAACTGACTTTGTTACCGAGACCTTACTGTAGCTTTATTGTGACATTGTACAAGTCGGCTGATTTGCCTAGTGAAGAATACTGTTTAAGTAGTATGTGAGTACTGAAAACAGGGAGTCAAGGACTCAGTGACAACACTAACATTTATCAAAAACTGATTTAACATGATTACAGTAACTTGATCTAATTGTCGATATAATGATGATTAAAATGTGGAGGTCTTTAAGTGCCAACACATCAATAACAATTGTTTAAGCCTTGATAAAGGCTTATTAAAATAGCAAACACCTGCTATTGTATATGCAGGGCTCTACAGTGCGACCATTTCACTCGCATATGCACCTAAATATTTTGCTGTGCTACCTGGAATTTTAATTTAGGAGCACCAGTCCGCTTAGAAAAATAAGGATTCCTTAATACCGCAAATATTTTTCATTGTGCTCCTACATTTCTTTGTGTGCGCCTACATATTTCAACTTAGGTGCAAAAGTGTTCCTTGTAAAGAAGGTCAGCATAGAGCCCTGATATGGCAGGAATGTTTTGCACAGAGTATAAGATGGTGGCTAAATGTGTTTGGCCCAATCCCGAATTGACACCTAAACCCTACGCACTTCAGGAGATCTGAGAGGATTTTACAGGTGTAAGTAATATAGTTATCGCACCACCTTGACCTCAAGTGCATACGGCGTAGGGCTTAGAGGTCGATCTGGGGTTGGGTCTTTGTTCTTGCTCCTGAAGGTGACATATCCATAATGGCGGACTGCAGACAACCCCCCCCCTCCACATTATGGGATGCTTTCTGGCACACAGAGATGATTCCTTAGAATTAAATGAATCTGTAAACACACTAACCCCTCCTCTAAATGTCCCCACACCAGTTCTCCAAACTGTTACTAATCTGAGCTCCTGACTGTGGAAAGTAACTCATAGGTCCAGTGCGTGCACCAATGATGTATCACTTTACATGTAAACATGAGACAGTGACATGGCAGGATGATCAGCGGGTGGCCATCTTGAACTCAGGTTGGAAAGTTCGTATGAGAGGTACAGTGCATTCGAAAGTATTCAGACCCCTCAACTTTTTCCACATTTTGTTAAAGCCTTATTCTAAAATGGATTCAATCGTTTTTTCCCCCCTCATCAATCTACACACAATACCCCATAACGACAAAGCAAGAAAATACAAAAACTGAAATATCATATTTACATAAGTATTCAGACCCTTTACTCAGTACCCTTTACTCAGTACTTTGTTAAAGCACCTCTGGCTGGGCCACTCAAGGACATTCAAAGACTTGTCCCGAAGCCACTCCTGCGTTGTCTTGGTTGTGTGCTTAAGGTCGTTGTCCTGTTGGAAGGTGAACCTTCTCCCCAGTCGGAGGTCCTGAGCGCTCTACAGCAGGTTATCAAGGATCTTTCTGTACTTTGCACCGTTCATCTTTCCCTCAATCCCGACTAGTCTCCCAGTCCCTGCCGCTGAAAAACATCCCCACAGCATGATGCTGCCACCACCATGCTTCACCATAGGGATGGTGTCAGGTTTCCTCCTTGGCATTCAGGCCAAAGAGTTCAATCTTGGTTTCATCAGACCAGAGAATCTTGTTTCTCATGGTCAGAGTACTTTAGGTGCCTTTTGGCAAACTCCAAGCGGGCTGTCATGTGCCTTTTCCTGAGGAGTGGCTTCCGTCTGGCCACTCTACCATAAAGGCCTGATTGGTGGAGTGCTGCAGAGATGGTTGTCCTTCTGGAAGGTTCTCCCATCTCCACAGAGGCAGTCTAGAGCTCTGTCAGAGTGACCATCAGGGCTCTTGGTCACCTCCTTGACCAAGGCCCTTCTCCCCCGATTGCTCAGTTTGGCCAGGCGGTCAGCTCTAGGAAGAGTCTTGGTGGTTCCAAACTTCTTCCATTTAAGAATGATGGAGGCCACTGTGTTCTTGGGGACCTTCAATGCTGCAGAAAGTTTTTGGTACCCTTCCCCAGAACTCTGCCTTGACACGATCCTGTCTCGGAGCTCTACGGACAATTCCTTCGACCTCATGGCTTAGTTTTTGCTCTGACATGCACTGTCAACTGTGGGACCTTACATAGACAGGTGTGTGCCTTTCCAATTTGTAGAAACATCTCAAGGATGATCAATGGAAACAGGATGCACCTGAGCTCAATTTCGAGTCTCATAGCAAAGGGTCTGAATACTTACGTAAATAAGGTATCTGTTTTTTTATTTTTAATACATTTGCTAACATTTCTAAAAACCTGTTTTTGCTTTGTCATTATGGGGTATTTTGTGTTGATTGATGAGAAAAAAATAATATTTAATCCATTTTAGAATAAGGCTGTAACGTAACAAAATGTGGAAAAAGTGAAGGGGTCTGAATACTTTCCAAATGCAGGTTAAATGAGGGCAGTGGAAACTGGCCATGGCTTTCATATCAGGGACACATTTGGCAGCTATCTAACATTCACAGTTCACACCTGTTTTTGTAGCTTTAGCCTCAGGCCTAAGCCCAAGGCTATGTTGACCCCATTCGGGACCTAGAATAGATAACCTCATGAATAATCTTCAAAATCTTAATACATACATGTATACAGGAAAATACAAACCTCTGGCTAACTATAGTCTGTAGCCCTGGGTTGATGTTCAAATGAAAGGCCTGCAGTGTATGTGAGACTCTCTCACCTTTCCCGAGTGACCCGCTGCACCACTTTGATGGCTCGCAGGACGCAGGTCCGGCCCTCCCACTTCCTGGTGTAGAGGTGGAGAGGGTCCTCAGATGGCAGAGGGTGGAGCTGGACCATGCTGAACATCCCATAGCTGTCCTGGACCAGCACACACAGCCTGGAACACACAGACACAGGGAGAACGTAACACACAGCCTGGGCCACATAGAAACAGGGAGAATGGAGTGAAATAAACTGAGGGTTGCAAGAAAAGGTAGTCGTTTGCCAGTCCATTTACTATTATTTCAAATCTGTATTGGCATATTAATGTGTTGGTGAGGGCGTAAGAATATACAATTAATTGAACAAACATTATGAACCAAACCCACAGCTTTGTGATTTGGGCTTGTATTGACATTTTAAAGTTGAGGTGTTGGAGGTTGGTTTGACAGGCTGGCTGCTGAGAGTGAGAACCTTTGGCCTAGTAAATGAGATGTGCTGCTCTGCCACTGCACTCTGCTGCTCCCAGTGACCAAGGAGTAGAAGGAGATGGCAGAAGGAATTACTTAGGTGTCAGAAGGAGTTACTAGAAGGTATCAGAAGGAGTTACTAGGGGATATCAGAATGAATTACTAGCAGGTATCAGAAGGCGT